GTTCTGGGCCTACGCTGGATTTGTATCGGCCTGTAAAGGGCGCAGTGAAGCAGTGAGGAGAGACTAAGAGAGGTGTATTAAGGCAGTGAATCTCGATGCTCTGTGTGTAATGGATTCAGAATGAGGGCTGACCAAGCAGCAGGCTGCTGATAACCTTTAGGAAGGACATTGTTCCTGTGCAGCAGGGGTGGGGGTGGTGGGGTCGCGTGGATGGGGGTGGTGGGGGGTTTACACAGGACTGCTGCTGCAGTATATACGCACGGTAGTGTGATTGGTGGTGCAGCTGTTTATTGGTTCATTGGCTCTCCGGCAGGGTTAGGAGGTAGAGTAAATGGGGCAGTATAGCAAACTCCCTCATGGCTTCCCGCACACATTTTTCAACTCCGGGGTGCATTTTTTTTGTTTTCTGTGATACATTTGTCCTCTGTCTGAACCAGGCTCTCACTGGCTTTCCATTAAAAGAAATGTAACAGCCTTCTTCTTCTGTCTCGCTTTCCCTTCAGATCGCCACTTAAGGAGAGGTCAGCGAGGGACCCTGCGTGAGGAATACATGACGGGCGGGGCGGGGGAGGGGGTGGCGACCACAGCGGCACTACCACCGAGGTCAAGGTTCACGCAGGTAAACGGATCTTTCTCTCATTCCGCATCTCATCGATTGTGCACATTGGTTGAATCAATCCTGCCTCCTTTTTCTCCCTGACTTGGAGCCGACTTGGCACGCAGAGAAAAAGTGAGGGAGTGATGTGGCTGGTTTGACTGGACGCTCCTGAGCTGGCAGCTAAGGAAGCAGTCTGCAGCTGCTGTTTATGAGGCGCTGTGCAGGCTTTGCTTTAAAATAAAATCCCCACCATGATGCTTGTGGCCAGTGTCAAAATGAGAAATCATTAAAAAAAACATGCTATGATTCAAGAACCTTTGATTTCCAAAAAAAACCCGTCTAGCTCGAAAGAGATTTGTAGTGACAAACAGTAATAGTAGGGCACACTGTGCTTTAAAAGAGCTTACCAGGACCTTATTGTGGCTCCCATTCAAAGGTCTGGTGCACTTTTCATTGCCCTAAATCTGAAAACTTATCAGCCATTTAAAAAGTAGGTCTGTAGTGTCTGTAGTGCTCCAATATTACACTTTTTATTTGCCTCCCGTTTTCTTTTCCACCAGGGATTAAGAAAAATGACTTGGGGGGAGCGGGGGCTTTGGGAGTTGGGTGGGGGCAGTTTAGGAAGCAAATAAATAAATAAAGTGCAAGGTAATCTTCCTTAATACTATGTGTGTGTGTGTGTGTGTGTGTGTGTGTGTGTGTGTGTGTGTGTGTGTGACTGCTGAGCAAAGGCTATGCTTTGGGAACATCTGCCCTGCACACAAACACTCATGTGCACATATAGCCAGCCCGACACAAATACTGTACACACCCGACTAGCAGGGATCAGCCAAAGCGATTAGGACACGGACTTCAGAGTGCAGAAAGTGACAGGTTTAACACACACATACCGACCATCAGCAGACTGACAAGTAATGCACAGCGAAAGAAAGAACAGAGCTTCCGAATGTGACAGCACACGACTGCAGACACATGAAAGTATAGGAAGACTAGTTTCACTGCTTCTCCCTGCGGCTGTCGTGCTGTATTCGTCTCAGCTCAAGCCCGTGGACTCATATCTGTTCTTCCTCTCTCCCTCCCTCACATTAACACATAGACTCGGCACAAACAGTTGATCAAACAACTGTGCAGTGGAGACAGAATTTGGCCAGACAGCCGGCCAGGATGAGTAATGTAGAGCCGCTTTGGCTTAATTTGTTTAGAAAGCCTATCATTGCTGCAAACACGTTACAGACTGTTGCTGTTTACCGAAGAGTATTTATCCCCGTAGCTTCTAACTGCACGCCTTTTTAACGTCAGCGGCGCACAGCGTGGCCACTGTTGAGGTCGAACAATGCAGCCGTTGTGAGGCGATGAAGCTGAGATTTAGGAGTGAGGAGGAGTGCGTTTTGTTCGCAGCGGTTAGGTGGACTCCTTCAGTGTGTGACCACACTAAAGGGGAAATTTTCTGCGTCACAGGGTTACAGCGTAGCTCGGGGCCTGTGTACATGTGAAGAAGGAAAACAGAGCTTTTTGGAAAACAATGACATAAGCCCTTTTAGGTCTTCCAGGCCTCTCACCCATTCTGTTGTGACAGATTTATGATCCCATTCTCAGCGTTCCTTTTTCATTCGCGTTTCATTTTTCCGCCATCCAGTGTCCTACACCCTCCTCTTTTTTTCTTGCCTTTTCTGTTTTGTCCCTTTCTTCCCATCTTTTTTCTTTTGAGTGCGTATACTGTACATCGACTATATGTGAAGGGGTGAGAGAAAGGCAAGACGAAGACACAATGACAGACAGCGAGTCTAATCAAAACTATTATTCTCTAAGGAGTTTTACCTCCAGCTTAGGAGACAGTGATGATATTCAAAAGACAGGGGGTGTTTATTTTTATCCTTGCTGGTGAGTTTCATTGTGGTTAACATCTTACGCCCTGTTTTTCACACGCACAAGCTGGCCGTTTTTGGATTTTGTGCTGCAAGAGGCATTTCACAAACAAGCAGAGGTATGAAGCGGTGAGAGTGGGAGGATAAGAGAGAACATTGTCTTCTCTTCTCCAGCTTAGGGACAGAGCAGAACAGGTTGTGTGAGGATACTTGCTATCCTTAACAATGTCTAACACAGCCTCAGGGCCACCTCTTCCTCTCTGACGAAGCTGGGAGTTGTGCAGAGTAGGAGACGCACATTCCTGAGCGTCAGATGGCCTGCTGGTACACTGTAATTGCTTTAACTTTGTCATCTTTAGACCTAATCACCACAATAACTTGGATCAATGGTTTTAATGATTTTATTTAATGGATAAAGATGATATTTGTCTCGCTTTTCATATTTATGACTCTGGCCAATCACTTTAAACAGTCATTGTGGTTTACAAACAGAATTCCTGCTTCAGCTTTGACTTTCTAACTCTTTCTGTGTTACTACTGCTCACTTTGAGTTTTAGCTCTATATTTAGATAACAGGGTTTAGATAATCTGGCTCTCCCTGGAGTTATTCTCACCTGGTCTCACTTAAATGAAACGATCTGCGCTTTACCTAGAGGGCGCTCATCAGATGGTCCTGGGCAGATCTCAGGAAATCGGTTTTTGGGACGGAAAACTTGGTAGGAAAGGACGCAAATACTTTAAAAAACGCTTAAACAGATGAAGAGCAACCATCTAGGGCAGTATTTGCCCTTTGGGGAAAGCATGTAAGAGCTCCCTAGCTAGGCAGATCCTCTTAGCACCTGCAAAAGAGGAAGACAAGCAGACACAGAGGAGGAAGGGTGGGGCGCAAACAGGTATGCAGAGCAGGCAGGCATTTATACAGGTACGACCAGATAGGAAGTGCACGAACTTCTGAACTCCTTCCAAACAAAAAACAAACGTAAGCTCGACGCCTGCTTCTAAACTCACAAGGCCAACATTTTATTTTAGTTTAGTTTAGTTTAGTCAGCCACACTCTTGGTTGGAATGAAACAATACAGCTGTCGTTTCACTTTGCCTTTAAAACACCAGCATTCTGCTAACGTATCATTCTCAACAGTCACTATGAAACAGGAAGCTCTCAGGATGGGATTTCTGCTGTTTTGAAATTCTCTTGCTAGCTCATGTGGACGGCTGAGCTCACGCCATGACGAGGCCTCTGGTATCAGTTCACAAGAATTGCTACTCCTTGCACAGGATTCAGTCAAACTTACAAGTGTAACAGTAATCAGTCATTACCGAAACTGTGCTCAAGTTCAGCGTCGTATTTGTTGTTTTACTGGCACTTTTCCATTTTCAACTCACTTTATTGATCACAACCTACCTAATTATAGACATACAACGTACAAACCTGAAACACTAACCACAAACACTGTTGAGTGTCAAGGTGTGTCAAACAAAGAGGTCGGTCGGCAAAGAGCAGTAAATAGTAAAACTCATTAAAAAAACCCAAAGAAAATAAATAGATTGAGAAAGAAATGTGTCTAAAATGAACAATCGTTAAAAGAAGTCAAACTAAATAACCCCTGTCAAGAGTTAAGCGATCTAATAGCTGAGGGAATGAGAGATTTAAGTATCTATTTGTTCTGCACTGAGAGGAACTTCTTGATCTCGGATCACAAAACATGATCAGGATGATTAATAACCTTTTTTGCCTTCTTTATCACCTGATTCCTCCTGTAGTGTCCGTCAAATTATAGTGAAACCTGCACACAGTAATCACCTAATGGGTTTTCACCACACTGTGCTCAAGATCAAGGTCAAGGGTACATTGCCGTAGTAGTAGTAGTAGTAGTAGTAGCCGCGTGAGCTACTACATCTCGTTTTCGTGAGATCGCTGTGCTGCCCCATTTCAGTAATTACAAACCCAAGAAGAAGGAAAAGCAGACCAAGGCTTTAAGAAGCACAAATTTGCTGCAGATTTCTCCAAAAGCTGATATAAATTGAAATGACATCACTCTGGCGGTGGTCCGCCATCTTTGTGTGCCTGTCGGTCCATTATGTTATCCATCACTGGGTCTCTCTGTCTGGTATTGTCAATTACCCAGAGGAAAACAACATTAGAGGCCTGAATGGGACACGGAGCTGTGGCAGGCCTGACATGGCTGTGTTATATGATTACACAACCTGTTGGCTGTCGCCTGTCAAGTGTCTCCTGACTCTGATGAATGGCTGTAATATGCCGCGCATCACAACACGCCACGCCACGCACTCATTAATGGCTTCTCATAATGGCCAGGACGTTCCTGCGATGCCGCAGAAGGGTTCACAACGAGAGAGAGAGAAGGTGAGAGCGAGGAATACTCCCAACGCTGTACCGACAAACAAAAGATACACCGTGTCCTCATTTTAAACGGCAAGACGCCAACATCACAGTCACATGTAACTGCATAAATGAACGAATGCTGTCAGAAATAAAGTAAAGGGGGGGGGGGGGGGGGGATAAACACACACGCACACTGGGAGATGTAAGAATTATTATTTTTGAGTGTGACACATATGTTTCTCAATTAGATACATTCTAGTCAATCTGTGGCCTATTTGCATAGATTATCAGTAATGTGAGCAACGCGGCGTGCTCACCAGCATGTGGGAACGTCACAATAGAGACGCTCGAAGAAAGGAGATTGAATCTGTCGTCTGTTGGGTGCCATCTGAAGCTTAGCTGATTGCTCTTTCTTTCAGTGAATTAGGAGACACGCTACCCGAGATCCTCCAAACTACTCGACTCCCAGCTCTAACAAACAGATCTGATTCTCATAGAGACACTGCTCCGCGAGGTTTCAAATTAAAAGTGTGAAAAAATGCTCCAAATGAGCTTTGGAGTCTGTAGGGGGGGAAGCTGCTGTGCAGCAGTGGCTGTATGGCAACAAAGTAAAGTAGTTTTTCATGCAGTGTATCAGCTGTGGAGAGGTTATCTAAAACATACACCAACCTAACCCGAAGCCACGTTAGGTGGCTTTGATCAGACTCTTAATTCTTACCGGGAAGCATCACACAGTGCTGGAGCCTCATTGAAAATTTGACAAGCCCCTCCTAAATATAGTGTGCCTCGGCTTTGTGTGGTCTTATGTTTTACATTGTCTCACATTAAAGTCAGTATTTTTATAGAAGGAGACACAGAGGTAAAGAGAGTTTTGAGTATAGCATCACTCAGATGTGCCTCAATGGCCTGGAGGGGACTGCTGAACATTGCTGCACCTGCAATGTGTGTGTGTGTGTGTGTGTGTGTGTGAGACAGAGAGGAAAAGACAGAGGGACAATCCGCCTTAATATTCCTATGTTTCTGTCATTGTTAGCGTATGTTTTCTTTCTCACAGCTTGAGTTTCTCAGTTTGAAATGCAACACCTGCAGATGTGTCTTGTAAACGGCAGCCGCCAGCTCCTCTCCCATTCAGAGGGGACCATTGAAACAAAGCAATTAAAGCAGCTCTCTCCACGGGGCGAAGACTCGGTCCATGGGTGTGCCTGCCTGTGCGCGAATGATTTTCCATTGTTTTAAAGCCAGAATCTTTAGATTGAACGGCGAAGAGCTCCACACTCCAGGAGAATGTGCTAGTCAAAACATTAGCAGCTCTGTCATATTCGTGTGTGTTTAAATATGGAAGTCAGAGGTCACTGACAACCTGTTGACACAGCGCAGATTTATGCAACGCGCACAACCGTGCAAACATATATCCGCAGCCCAGGTTTCGACTCAGCGGTGGTTTCTTGTTGCTGCTGATCTCCGGGTCCTTGCAGCTCCAGATACCAGAGGCTGAGTTATTTCTCCGCTCCGCTCCCTGACCCTCCTAATTGAGAACGGCTGTTACTGAGAAAGAGCGAGCTAAAGAGACAGAGAAAGATTGAGAACAGATACTTGTGTGAAAGCACACGACTCTTAAGAGCAAAAGAAAGACCGAATGAAAGGAGCAAAGAGCTAAACCTGTGGAGGCCAAAGCTCATAGAGGGTGCTCCTCTTTCACGCCCCTTGATCATCTCTATCTCTTCCTCTTCTTGCCGTAAACCAACAGGAGCCAAGCGCAGTGTCTCAAACGTAGGAGGGGTCGTTAGTGTCGTACATGATGGCCGTAGGAAGGAGAAAAGGAGGGAAGCACTGTTTAGGGTGGAGGGAGAATCACATAAAGCAAAGTCAAACCAGAGGGCTGGGGAAGAGGAGCGGTGAGAACAGTGACAGCTGCAAGCATGTCGTACTGGGTGATGGTCTGTCCGTCTGTCAGAGCAGATATTTCTGTCTGTTTAGTGCTGCCTTACTGGCTGCCAGAGACACTCCTCGTGTCATCGCTGGGTGCCTGCTGTCACTGGCTAAAAAGGAGAGAGGGAGTGGAGTGTGTACGCGAGCATGCGTGTGTGTGCGCACAGGGGTGTGTGTGTCAGCGAGAGTGACAGAGAGAAACTAGAGCAGCTGTCTTGAAAGCTCTTCCACTCTGTCAGTACATCTAGAATCTGCTTTCCCCTGATATCTCCTCACTGAGGCAGTGTTTTAGTCAGATGTTTGGTCAGAAGTCTCAGTTTTTCCCTGATAAAGGAACACTTTGGGGAAATCAGTATGTTGTGTAGCTTATCTGTTAAGATAACGAGATCATAAGCGCTGTAAAGCCTATATTTGCAACACACTGTTTAATGTTGTAATTTTAGTCAGTAAATATGTGTTACATACATCTACATTACCTGTATTTGTAGCAAAACTGCTTCTATGTGGTTGTAGCTTTGGCATGCCGACTTGCCGATCATGGTTGAAGACCAGGCACAACCCCAAATGGCAAAAGCACACCCCTACTGCAGCAGCCTCCCCAGCAAGGATGCTGTGCCCCACTACACTACAGGACTGACTTTACACTTACTAGATCAGAATCTGAGAGTATTCAAAAGCTTCAGCAAAATTTAGTATACTGTATTGAGTGTACAGTGCACATATAGAACTTTATATCCTAAGTGCTAAGCGAAAAGGACACCAGCAGAGCCGAAGGTGGTTATCTTCAGGTTCACCATGATACGAATATCTGATGATTGATGGTTTTTCTTTTAAAAATATCACAAATGAGAGAATAGGAGTGCAGCTAGAGTACCATGTCGATAAACAGTATCAGTAAACTGCCGTTAAAATATGATACCCATCCTTGACTAAGCCCAGATTAGCCTGGATGAGCCACACCTTTCAAAGCGGCTTCGTGGCGCTGGTGTGTTCATGCTTTGTTGAATGACAGGCTTTGTGAAGTGTCTCTCTTGGTCAGCCTGAACACTGCTATATTGAAGTTTTGCAGACACGTAACCGCAAAGTGACGTGACATTTTGGACGTGGGACAGCTACAGTCACAATGTAGAATAGAGCGAACAAGGCCCCATTCACACAGGCTTAGAGACTGATCTGCAACCATCTGGCAACCGCCGGTTCACTGAATGGTTATTGGAGGGAAAATTATTACCTAAGCCCCAGCCACACAGGCATATGAACATGCCACTTTATAGAACTGGCAGCCACCTGTTGCCAGAGAAAAGTGTTGGTTGCTTTGGTTCATAGCATATTGCTGTGGTTTTACTTTGAATGGAAGTGATGTTCTTGTCTACAAACACTGTGCAGCTACTGTCCGAGCTATAGTGAAACTGTAGAAAGTCAGAACCAAACTGGAAATGAAGACGATTCGCTTTCAAAGCAACAGTTTTGAAACACATAGACTCATCTTTTACTTTGAAGGTGAAAATGTGCCACTTTACTTCCTGAGTAGTTAGCAAGAAGTTGCAGAGAAACACGAAAAAAATGCAAGCATCCGACAATCTCCAGAAACCACCACCAACCAGTTGGGGAATACATTTTCCCCCCTACAAGCCAGTGGTTGAGTCACATCCAATATGGTGTACAACTACAGTGTGAGGTGATATCACACGAGAAGTCATACATTTTTCAAAATAAAGCAATGTAGGATGTCACCATCGAAAAGGTTTGACACTTTTATTTTCTTGGACTATCAAGAAATTTGAAGCTGTTTCCTGTGGAGTCAGTGAGAACAGAATTTTTACTATCTTACACTGTTAATAAGTAGAGACAGTGAATAATGACCCACATTTTGAAGAAGCAGAACTTTTAAGCATGCACACGCTGCTGGCTGATGGCAGAGGGTTAGTTTAATCTTAGAATAACTTGTAGAGGCTGTAATGAGAAGACATGGTAGTAGGCAGGCGAGTCTGTCAGCGTTGTGTAGGTGGCACAATTTACATGAAATATTAAATAAAAATAGCATACGGTTTTAAATTTCCTGGGTCAACAGAATGTGAGTGTGGGAGGCACAGTGAGACGGTGTGAAGCTGAAAATCACTGTGCACAGAGCGTGCCCACCCGAAATACTTCCAAAAGTCAACCTAGATGGTCTGTTTAGTCTTTATTGAAATATTCAATGTTTGTCAGTTTATAAATGTGAAGGCTAAGACGTCAAAAACAGCCGACGGCTGTTTAGTAAAAGGTTTGGCCTCTCACGCTGGATAATGGTAGTCATAACAGCTGCTATCATTTAACATGCTGAAGAGAAGTTAAAGGCACCAAGTGGAAGGATTTTCAGTGCGTGCATTTTCAGTACTTAAACAATCGGGCAATCTCCTTTGTTCATACAAATCATAGGTTTTTATGTTTTACTAATATGGTGTGTTTTTGACCATCGATTGTTTTGATTGAAGTCATCTGTTGTTGGAGTGTTGTCATCTGATTACAAACATGTGCTTTTCAACAATCAAGATGGCCCTGGAGTGAGGTAATGGAATATTTAAAACAAAGATGTAAGAGCATTAGCGAGGCTTTAGGCTGCACGGTGGCTCTGTGGTTATCCTAAAAGTCGAGAGTTTGCACCCACTGGAGTGAATGTGTGCAACCTGAGCTGGATGTGGGCTGGGGAAATGGATAGATTTTGTGCAGTTTAGAGAGCGCTCTCAATGTTTGAACTTTCCTTGACCTTTCTCTGACTGTTTGATGGGTTATCTCAGCAAGACGGCAAGACTCGTATGACTTAATGAATCAAGGAAATAGCGTCACCTAAGTCTCCCGGGCTAATTTCAGCAGCGGCGTGAGCCCCCACATTGATGTTGCCTGTAATTTTGCGGCAGCCGTGACAACATTAGTGCAACTTTAGATCCTGTGCTGTCAGTGTCAGCCTCTTCTGGCTCCTCAGCTGCCTCCGCAGCCCTGTAACCACACACTGCTGTTTATGTTCTTTAGGTTAACACAGTTATCTCTGTGCGCAACCGGAGCCGTCAACCTACACGGGCACTTTGGCACATGTGTGCAGTTGCGTGTGTGCAGCTGCAGGACCTGCCTCCCTCCAGAAAGAGCTGCAGGGACTTGCCAGTATTTTCATTCCCTCTAGAGGCATTTCCGCTCACCAACAAAGCCCTGCCTGAGTGATGAAACGAAGAGGAAGCAGCTTTTGTGAAGGGAGCAGCCAAATTCTGTCTGTGTGTTGGTGCGTGTGCGTGTGCACTGCTGACCCTGGCTAACAGTTCGCTACATGCAAATTTACTCTTCAGCTTGCAGTTCAGGTTGCTCCAGGCTCTTGTTTGCTCACAAGCCTACTGTACCACAAGAACAAGCCTACTCTGTATCCCATTCAAGAAAACAAAGTTGCCTCCTGTTTGCCTCTAATTGACTGGTATAATTCCTGGCTTGTTGGATTGGTTAGTGTTTTTTCACAGGGCTTGTTAGCACTGGCCTTTACTTCCTCTGTAGCTGTTGCCAAAAAGGAAATGTATGCTGTAGCTCAGGTCACAATTCTCCAGAGTGTCTGGCTCTGGGAAGGAATTGAATCGAGCCAATAATACAAAAAAACTTCTCATTGTAAAGTAGAAATGACATAAAAAACGAAAAGCAAATAACACTGATATAAATGATCGTTTTGGGTTCTTTCTCTGTGCGAATATCACTTTTTCTCTGCTGAGTGAATAGCCTTTGTTTAGTCTGTGATTTCTAGAAATAACTCCTCGGTTTTGATAATAACTATGGTTGGTGGGAAAACATCATTATTGCTTTCTCACTTGAGGTCATGACACAGCTACTGAGTTGTTGTTTTTTTTTGTAATTTTCAAATGGGTGCAAAAGCAGCAAAACTGCTGGATCTGACAACCGCAGAGATTGAGATTTTCTCTGGGGTTGTCTACAGAGTCAGCGTCCTGTGGGTTGACAGCCAGGGCCCTGTGACACACGCTCATGGCCATAAACAGGGATTTAGCCCTCTGGAGAAAATAACCTTGATAATTACTGGGTGCATATGGACCTGCCCACAGAGGGAGAGGGAGGGAGGAGACGAGAGCTGACTGAGAAGGAGAGAGAAGGGAGAGAGCCACATCCGCTGGTGCATTCCTGCATGCTGTGTCATACTGGTGCTGAGTTTCCCCTCGGTTTGCACGGAGATTTCCACAAGGTGGAGAGTGCAAAGAGCTACTGACGCAGCGCTTGGGGCTGTGGATGCTGACATTTAAAGTTTAACAAAGCAAAAAGCACATGCATACACTCCCCAAAGTAACAAAAAGACAACATAAAAAAAATGGAGGCATGTGAGGGTGGGATACATGGAAAGAAGGGGGCATATATAGCCTGGCAACCTAACTCATGAGTTGAACTCTGCTCTCCTGGTTGCTTTCTGCTCTCATCACGTGGCCTCTGTGGTATAGTTGAACTGGGCATCATTACAGCACAGCCAGAGCCGAATGTCTGTGGCTGGCTCACTGCCCCGTCTGCCTGCCTGTCATTCAGCTGGTTAAAGAAGCCTTGTTGAACAACTGCACCGTGCCTGACTACTACAGGGCCATTCATTGCGTGCAACAGCCAAGTCCTGTCACCAGTGTTAGCTAGCAACATACCAATTTACTACTAGAAACGACTCGGGCATTTTGCTCGGTAAGCACAGTTTCCCCCGAGCAACCTCCTAACCCATTTTTTTGAAGTTTGGATTTCAGAGAGCACGCCCCTCTAACAGAACAAGCCTCTTCAGACAAACGCGGTGTTCGCGTCTCAGAGATGTTTTCCGCCTCTGTTGAATGTACGCCATTGAGCGCATAGTGGGATACACTGATCCATTCCCCAAGGAATCACACAACAACAGCAAAACACAAAAAAAACAAACCAAAAAACAACAAAACAGATCCTTTGTGCCGCCTGTAACGCTGGATCTCTCAAACAGAAGAGCTGAAAATACACTTCATCACTCTGAGAGGGTTTTTGCCTCCCCCCACCCCACATGCGTTGGGCTAATCCTGTCACAGCTGACCTGCGTCTTGGTGAACTGTTCTCCGTCCTTTTCTCAGTCCCAGAGTGGCACACACAGAGAGGACATGCATGAGAGTCATAACTTCAACAGGCGCTCTTTCTCCCTTTCGTTACATGCTTTATTCCTGCTCTCATTCTTGATTCCTCCAGCTCTTGTCCCTCTCTTGTCCTTTTTGCCCCCTCCCCACCCTTAACCCTCACTCTGTCTGCATCCCTAACATCCTCCCGCTATGATTAGCAATAGTGTTTTTTTTCCCCAGCCAGTGTAATGTCTAGATCCTCCTGTGTCCTTGGAAAGCAGCCTAATAAGCTCAGACACACACTGATGTCTCTGTGCACCACAGGCCTATTCTCCAGCGTCAGCCAGCACACACTGAGGTAAACAAAGACTGCCACACACACGCACACAGACACACACACACACTATCCTAGTGTGCTAATAGACCAGCATACCAACCCACTGAGGACAGCGTTGACGCTAGCTTGCTAACGTTGACCTTCCGTGTGCCAATCACAACAAATCTGCTCTCCCGATTTGAATATGGGGAGGAAAACAGTGTAAATTGAAAGCAGAAATCCCCCTGGTGTGAGACAAGATGAGACTCTGAATAAATTATTCAGATGGCAGCCTCTTTCCTGTATGATTCTCGCCTTCTGCTACGTTTAATGGCATCTGTGAAGACGCCCATTCGAGATTAATCCAGATGTAAGACGTTTGTGCGCGTATGTTTGTGCGATCTTACATTTGTAAGAACGCGTGCATGTGTGTGTGTGTGTTGCCCGCTCACCCCTCTTCTCATGCGTCCCGTTGTGTCGTGTGATGGGGAAACAAAGCCTCAACAGGGGAATTTATTTCTTCTCCAGAGAGGGCTGTAAATAAACAACTAGTGAATCAATGCCTCCATTTGTTTTTTCTCTGATAATTCTGCCTGTGGCGTCAGGCGGTGTGACAGTGTTTTGCAAGCCAGCGTAGCTCTCAGCAGCCATATTTCCTCTTGGTGAGAGTGAGAAAACATGCCACACTGGCCTCATGTTTCATTACCTAGGATCAGTAAATTACCGCACACTTTTTTCTTTCTTTTTTTAATATCATTCACTGAAGCTCGTTTAGCACCATGATGGCGCCTTTGTATGAATGGGAAAAAACACCAGCATTAGAGCTGCTCAGTCAATTAAAGACAGACAGGCATAGAAATTACTGTGTTCAGCTGAATGAAAAAAATAACCCACAGTAGGCCCTGTGGTTTCAATCAACGGTGACCTTCCCCAACAGAAGTACTTACAAATGTTTGGATATTAAATATTACAGCGCGCTTTGTAATGCACTCTTTGAATTCATGTTCATGTTATAATCAAAGTGTAAAGAACTTTGCAGGTTATTAAAAAAGAGTTTTGAATAGGTTAGTTCACTTAAATGACAGTAAAACATATTTACTCACTTACTCACTTAATGGGAGCTTTGATGACTCTCAGCATACACAGTCCAGTTCGATTCTCATCTTGATTTTTTTTTCTTTTTTATGGGGTTTAAGTAAAAAAAAACAAAACTAAACAGGGAAGGTAAAACAACAAAAAACCTGTTTTTTAGATATATTTCCATTTCATTCTTGACCTTAATCTGATCTTTAAACATTGCAGCTTTCACCAGACTCCAGCGCTTTACTGGGCTTTTAACAGCTTTACGTGGCAGCTAGCATAAGCATCATAATAAAAAATAACATCTATTTTATTCTCAATGCTAGGCTAATGCAAGTACCCTTAGTGCTTTCCATAGGAATGAAGCAGGTACGTAGCACCCAGGTCCTGCTAATCAAATGCACTTCATTATTAGATCATCAGCAAGTATGAGCACCTCTATTAAAGCACAAGATTTGGCAGTTTGCTGGTCTGGTGCATTCAGAAACATGTGCCACACACGTCCCAGCAAATTCAACCCAAAGCATTTTTAATTTTGCCAGCAGATGTTTTTAGTTTTAGTCGTCATTTAGGCTTCTAAATCAGTGGTTCCCAACCCCCGGGCCACGGACCGGTCTGTGAAAATATTGTCGGGCACAAACCGGTCCATGGCGCAAAAAAGGTTGGGGACCGCTGCTCTAAATGATTGTTTTTTTAGTCTAGTTTTATCTGACTACATATCATAAGATTATAGTAGACTAAATCCAAAGTTGATTCAGTTGACTAAACTATAAAGTGTAAAAATTAGTTGTGTTTTTAACGGTGAGAGTTGCTCTACAAGATGTCTTTACATTACATCATCCTTTTTGTCTGCATGCATTAGTTTTTTTTTTTTTAATTTATCGTCTTGTGTTTGTCAGAAAAGACAGGTCGTTGATGAAAACAATGACGGAAATTATTGGTCAGTTAAATTAACACGGCCCCAAAGGTCAGCACGTCCAATGCTCAGAGAAACTGCAAGAAAGGAAAAACAAGAGCTATATCTTAGACTCTAGAGCCCCCATTTACCGTTTTAAAGTTGCATGCGGACAAACACTGAGACTTCTGGAACAAAATCCTCTGGATAGATAAGATCAAAGTGGAGAGAATGCAGAATTTGGCGGAAACCAAATAGGTCAGGCAGCATTACAATGATCCCAAGCACAGCAGAAAACGTAAACAGAATGGCTGAAAAAGAAACGAATTAAGGTTCTGCAATGGTCGAGTCAAACCCCATACCTAAGAGAGCTGTACATAAAGAGATGATGTCACAAAAGCAACACGTTATTGTTGCTAAATGTTGTTCTACAAGTTAGTGAATCATGTAGGTGCACTCAGTTTTTCACAAGACTATACATGCAGATGTACATTTAAAAAAGGATTTGGTGCTAGCAGCTCTGTCTATCTTGGGATCCAGGTATCTTAATATCTGGCCAACTAAGCCCAGCTCCTTTACTTTTAAACTGTTTGTTTTCCTTAAATGCACTTCTGCAATCTTCAATAACAATAATTAGCGCAGGTTCTAGAAAATATGGGGGGAGTTGCTTATATTAGCTACGGTTGGATGGCTAATGGGAAAGTGAATAATGGTGTAAACAGAGTGTTCCTGGTTCTGCAGGAATAACGTTAACCTCCCAGTGTGCGAACCTTGATTAGAAGCAATCATTCAGCTAATGCTACTATTGGTAATGCCAACACAACTGTACACAAGAGCCTCTAATGAACACTGGTTTACTGTGGTTTCTTTGTACTGAAGTACCCTTCTCTATATCCCATATCCAAGTGTGAAATTACAATATCAGATCATATTTAGTTAATTAAACCCATATGACTAATTTAATTTGACTCAAATGTGGGGAAAGTGAATAAATCATGGAGGCGTATTTAGCTTGCTAGCACTGGTGTTAACAGTAATTAAATGTGGGGCAATCTGTAGCCTGTGAAGATAGCTCAAGTCTTTTCTTTCTGCCTACTGTACAAGTACACATGTGGAAGAAATGTAAGCCAGACGGGGCTTTTTCGGGGGGAGACGTCTTGCAGAATATTAATGAAATGATGTGTGAGTTTCAAACATAGAAATAAGCGAGTCAAAGATGCAGTCTTGTAAAGTAGGCTAGTGCATTAATAGTCAGCGAGCGACTGTCCCATTAGGAGATCTGCACATCTTAGTTAGAGAAGAGCCAGAAGCAGAGAAGAAATATTCCTCCATGATTAGAGTCGGGAGAGTTCAAAGACAGCTGGTTTTTGCAGCTAGATGGGCACAAAGCACTCACAAGGAAGACAAGAAATCAACTTGTATTTGTCATTTAAGTATTTTATGCTTCATATTTGGCAGGGATTAGAGATGCATATTCTCTCCAGCTCTGTCAGTCCTTGTTATGCGCTTCCATTTTGTCAGATGCACAACGGGGTGCTTTATTGCATCTCGATAAATGTTGCCACCTAAGCCTTGTTTTCCTATCACTAAAAAGCACGTTGTGTTTTGTCACACTCCCTCATGCGCATGGCACTTTGTTTTTTGTTCATTTTAGACTCGCTCTGTGATTGATGAGGATTAAGAAACGGATTTTGCCTAACAGGAAACACAAGAACATCCTTATTCAAACTGGTAAGAATCTTGATTTATCAGCTGCGTGTTCATCTGACTGGTTTGGCTTCAGCTCGTGTGGTGATACTGCAAATAAGACAATATGGCTGCCATTTGGATATTGCCCCACGTTGTATCATACCAGGTGTTTTGTCCTAGAAAAGGATGCTCTCGTGATCGTGTTATGTGGTAACTGAAGCAGAAAGAAGACTTGCTTTCAAGAACAATATGAAAACCTGAATATGTTGCGATTCGGGGCATCAAAAGAACACGCGAAGCTTTAACGTAAATCATCTGTGTGTTGTTTGATTGTCCTGCGATACCTAAATTGTTACATGCTGCATTTTGTTATCCCAACGCTTTCATATATTAGACCACATACGCGTCAGAACATCCTGAATTAATTGCCACCATGACTGGCCACCATTGTTCTGAATGAAAGCACATGTTTATGGGGATTAGTTGCGTGATAGTGGGTGATGGCATTTCCTCTTTGCATGGTAGACAGCTGGTGCTTGTCAGGTGAGGGGTGGAGGAGGAACGGGGGCAGTCAGTCAGTCAGTGAGACCAAACAAGTTGGGATGCCAAGTCTTTCTTGCTGGGTCTTTCCTCTGATGTGGTCATTTTAGATCAAGCCCATTTGAAGGATGTTTACAAGAGCACATTCCTGCATGCGTGCTATAGTGGAGCTCTACCTTTTTTTGCTCGTTTTCAAGGCATCGTTATCCATGTTGAACCAGTGCTGGAGCTTCTGTGTGTGACCATTGATTTGCCCGTATCAACCTCCAAGAGGAGTAAACTGCTCATCCCCATTTCCTCATCCTCCAATCCGATCTTTACTGTAAGGACAAAGCTGCATTTGATGCAAAAACATGCTTGAATACTCTGTTCATTTTTCCTTTGAACAGCATAGACATTATGTATTCAGATAACCCTCGGACTGCATGAATATTAAGTGTTCATTTAAACCTTAGCCGAGATGAAACACCCCATCAGTCGTCATGTGACAGTGACCACGATGATGCATGAAGTAATTGGGTTGGATGAGGATATGAGGAAACAGCGCACTAAAGGATGTCATGTTAAGGCCTCCATCGCATTTTAGGTAAAAAGAGGCCCAGTCCTTCTGGTTTTGTTTGGGAGGGTTGTGCAAAATGTCGACAGCGTTAGTTGTATACATGTGAAACGGCATCAAAGCGCTTGAAGGTGAATAATTTTTGGTGGCATCTGCACATTCTGCAATATGCTAATAAGCAAAGCTGCAAAAGCCAGATTGCCAGGAGAGAGAAGGGGCGACGGGGAGAGGAGGGGAAAAAAGAAAGAAGGGGAGAGCAGAGTGGAAAAGAGAGAAACAGACGGAGGCTGGTGTAAATTATGGATGCAACGTGCGATTTCCAAGAGGAAAAGAAAGGCAGAGAGAAACCTCAAGTCATGCATATCAGATTACGCATTTACCACATTTTCTTATCATGGTCCGTGAGCAAACTTGTGTGCAATCTGGCCTCTTTGTGCGTACGTGCACGCGCGTTTGTTTGAGACAGGAAGTATAAGAGTGAGCGAGAGAGCACTTACATATTCATCCATGTCAAGTTGCGTGGAGTTGTCTTGTGCTGTGAGGCATTCTTAAAAACTTGCTATGACGTGCACGTCTAAAGCCGGGTTGACTTACATTGCTATTGTGTAGCTTTGCTTCGTGTGTCCATGGCGACACGGCTCCTTTTGGTACGCACGTGCCATCTCGTTAGTTTTGAGCGTGCATATTTACACAGTGGCAAATCTGCCCCACTGGGCATTTACATGACATTGTTTAACTGTGCCGAAAAGCTGAGCTGGCTGCTTTAATGCCCTCTTTAGCAGTTCTAAGTAAAGTTAAGTAAAAGTATGTTTACCCTGCCCCCCCGAACTACCACTACATCGCACCCTTATGTGCCAGCGCCTGTGTGTATGTGAATAATGAATCCATTCTTAAGTTGTGTCCGTGTCTGGGGTCTGCGCAGTGGTGTGGTTTCCCCCACAGAGGAGTTGGGAGGGGCTGGGTGGTAGGGGGTGTCTGGAAATAGCTCTGCCTGAGCTGGGAGCACCTTAGGTGGGCCTCTGTGCCAGCCTCACCTTCCTTTAACATGCATGCACGACAAAAGTACAATTCTACTCGCAAACCTGGACTATATTACTCCCCTGTTTTTCAGTTAGACTTGAAAGGGACGCATGTCTGCATTCACATTCACTGAGCAGGAAAGAAAAGAGCTGCGATTTCTAAGAACTGAGCAGGAGACACGTTGCAGTTAAAGCGCAAAGTGTCTTAGTTAGAAAACAGAAACTACAAAGCCCGCTCTGGATCTTGCCTGCATGTAAATGTGTGTTAATGTGCAAAGTAGGTCATTTATTTGGAGCAGGGACAGCCGTGGTGTGCCTCTCTTGAGCGATGTCAGAGCGGGGGAATAAGTTTATAAGCAGACACATTGCTGGATTTGGTGAATTGTACAGGGGATTTACATATACCGATATTTTGTTTATGTGTCGAGCCAAATCCCTGGGTGGGTGTTGAAGGTGAAAATGGCTGTGGTCAATCCAGAGACAGCATCAGTAACCACAAGCAGAGATAGCAGCCTAAAAATCAGACTAAATCAGATTACCAAACAAACAGCTAAGAGGATTAATTCTGATCTCTCTCTCTCTCTCTCTTTTTCCATCAGATGGACACATTAAATCTGCAATCTATAAAATCCCTTCAAATGATTTTCTATTTTACTTTGTGGCCCTCATTTTCTGGTCACATGTTTGGAGTGAAGCTCTTTCTGCTCCCAGTGAACTCTGCCCTTTTGTTCTGCCTTGAGGCCTCTAGAAATGACTTTAGTAAACAGGGTATCAAAACCAGTCTTTAAAAATATCTTCACAGGGTACAAGAAGCAGTCTGACCTCTGATCAGGTGATATACTGGCAAGCCCATACTGTTATAATAATGCGTTTTACCCAGCACGCTCGCTGTTAGGAGTAAAGCTGTGTTGAGAGATGCCTGTGGCCCTGTGGCTGTCAGTTAAACAAGCACAGTAACGTTCGCCGGAACAGGCGCAATTAATAGGAACCATAATATATAGATGGGAATAATTACACCTTGTCGCTGGCTTTCACAGATCAAATATGTTCCTGCATTTCTTCAAATTAATCTCAGGAATGATTGTTGGCTTACAGGGAATCAGTGGCAGCACAGTATGTGTTCTCAGGGAGAAAATACTGTAGATTAATTTGGTTAATATTTCATAAAGCTTAGGAAGGCAAAGGGCATTTGAGGCTTTTCAGATTATTTATTCTCAGCCAATACTACACGCTACGGTTGAGCTGCTGTGCCACTGTGCTGCAACTGCCTTGCACAATGCCAAAGAAAGGCACTTGCCTTTAAAAGTGTTTGCCTGTGATAGCATTGTTTGTGAAATGGGAGCCGTTCACATGTGCAGCTGCGTTTCCTTTACGCCGTGATCTGATTCAAAGGCTCTCGTTCACGTACGGCTTTGTATTGCTCTCCTGAGTGCTGATAACTGCTAAAAGATTCGTATTAATATCCTCTCTGGTGCTCTTTTATATTAGCTGATTCATTCCCTGCCCGGCTACTTCAGCTAAACACAGGGATACAACATAGCAACGTCGCTCTTGACAGCTTGACAAACTGACATTCCCACTCTCAGTGACTCCCGCTTCTGCCCTCTTGGTCTCTGTGATACAACTGTATACTGTAACCAACAAGACTGTAATCAGTGCAGACCTAATCTAATCATCGCTCCCGACAAGCAGCACTGGCTGCCGGGCTTCCACGAAACACATCTCGCATCAACAGGCTGCTTGGACGGCATCGTGTAGCTCGAGCAACCGCCGGATGAAATGTCAGGAGAAGCAGGATTATTCCCGAAAATGTCACTGACAGCATAATAACTTAGCAGAAGAGTGTCTCATGCTATGTTTGTATCTCATGTCAGCAGGTGTGATGTGTAACTCGGTGTGTGTCATAAAAGCTACTGTACACAAACGTAAACAGAAAGCGGGATCTGTTGAGTGAAACTGGTGCGCGATCGGTGTGCACGCAAACCGTGGTGTTAGACGTTAAAGTGTGTGTTTTTAGATCTGCACAAACAAATGCACATCTTTAAAACCTCCTCATTATTGGCAGCGGGAAAGCTGCCCGGGCACCGGGACAACTCCTGTGTGCATCTGCGTGCGTGTCTGTCTGCAGCTTGTGTGTTCGTGGTATGCGCCTAATTCGGCGGCTCATTCCAAGATTTGGTTAACCGAGTTGGCTCGCCCTATCGCATTGCCACAGAGTGTGCAGTTGCTTCAGCCTCTGTTTCATTTAGTGGCACCCACGCTCTTATCCTCTTGCCATGAAAGCACGCAGACACACATGCTTTTGCACCAGAACAGAAATGCACACACGCGCACGCACAGCTGAATGAGAGAAAGACAGAGTAAGAGGGACAGAAAGAGAGAGTGAGAAAGAGGAGAAAAAAATAAGAAAGTACCAATTAAGCTCCTCAGACAGTTCTGCCAACAGGCATCAGGAGGTTGGAGGCGGTGAGTGTTTGCGTGTTTGTGTGTGTGTGTTGGATAAGGGGGTAGAGGGTGTTTGACTAGAGCTGAGGTCTCTAACTTTTGCGTTGTCAGTTTTGTACTTGTGCAAGTTTTGAAACAACTCATTACCGTGAGGTGTCAATAACCTGCTGAGGAGGCTGGCAATTATCAAGAGCTTGTCACTTTTTATAGTTGTTTGTTGACAATTTCCTATTATATGCTGTATTGTTGTTCCGTGTACTCATTTATATATAGACTTTTTATCACACCGCTGTAGATTTTGAAATATTTGAAAAATATAAATGAAAAAAAACATTCAGATTCTTGTACTGTAGTTGTGGGGAGAGGTTTACATGCAATCATCATGATTTTTATGATTTCTTCTTTTTCCAGTGTGGGGTGATTATAAAACAAAGAAACAAGAATCAGGTGGTATTGGTTTGAGCTCATTTTGTATTTTCTCT